TGACATATTTTACAAAGTTTTTCATAAATATTAAAACACTTGTTGTCACGTTGGAACTCTTCATCTTTAATTAATAATTCATGTGATTTATAATATAAACCTTTCAACATTTGAAATAAGGAAAATGTAGCATTATCAAGAACATTAATATGATCTTTGCAAATATTAGAAACATTATTTTTTCCTGTACTTCCATCCATTACGCTTAACATTTTTGCGTAACAACCTACTTCACCTTCACAATTATGTTGTAAGCCATTTAGTTTATCTTTTAGTTTGAAATTGAAATATGTACAATATGATATTTTGTCATTAGGTTTATTATCTTTTATATGTTCTAAGTAGTTACTGAGATCAATGCAACTGTTATAAAACCCATGTTTTTTAAGTCCTAAATAGCTTCGCATTCCAGAACATACATTATTAAAACGATTTATACTAGGATCTCCAATTTTGCTTATAACATCATAATATTCCTTCAAGCATCTAGGAAATATACTATCTAAATGAATCTAAAAATATGAGTAAACGTATATAAAAAAATTAAAAAAAATACTTTTATAGTTGCAATTTTCTCTCTGTTTCCACGAGTAGCAGCATTTTTATTCTTAATAATGTAAATTATAATTTTAATAACTAATAATAATATACATCAATATTCAAAGAAACAGGAATAGTCATTGTGTTATGCTTATTTTCACTAATACAAAATATATAGCAAATAAAAAAATATATAAATGAATATAACCAAAAAATATTGTACTATACTATGCATAATCTTTATTATAATGCTTCATATAATCTAAAAAAAAATATAATTTATTAAAATATATTATTTTGGCATAGAATTTTACTTAAGTATATATTGACTACAAGTATTACAAAATAGATTAACTCTTATGCAATATAATATTGTTATTGCCATAGAAAGAATTAATTTAAGAAGTATAATGATGGATAATGTATCATTATTTTTTTAATTTATTTAATTAATTATATTTTTTGCCCTAAACTTTTCTGTAATGATTAAATGGATAAATCTTCTACAAGATATGAAAAGACGCAAGGAACAATCTTCACGGACGGGATTTATAATTTGTTATATAGGATTAATTGTTTTTTTTTGTGGACATATATATTCCTACACAGGAGTAATTTATTTATCATTACATGATATATGTTGGATACTTATTACTGTTCTGCTTTGAAATATGTATTAATTACTTATACATTTTTTACATGACTTGGATAATGCTTTAATATGATTATTAATGTGCACTTGTTGTACAATGTAGCAGTATATTTTAATTGTGTATGTATATTCATTATTTAATCTTAGTAAATAAATGAAATAAGGAAATATATGTTTTGTAATAAAATATGTTTTTAAATAAATTGTAATGTTATTATTACTTGATTAATTCAATTATATTATAAAAACTATTATTATTATATAAGTATATTATTCGTATATATTTATTATTCTTAATAATTTTTATAATTTAATAAGTCAAACTAATTAATATTTTATTATGATAACATAGTTAATCATGAATATTAATTTTTATAATTAATATAATTTAGTAATTTTTTTTGTAATTAATTATACACAAAGTTGCAGTATTTTTTACATCTTTTGTTATAGTTTCTCTTTCTTTATTTTATGTTTCTTATGGTTTAGATTTACTGTTTCAGAAGAACGAGATTATTATATTTATATTAATTTAATTATAAATATCATTTTGAAATTGTGTTCAGTGATCATTTTAAAATTTGTGTAATTTTAATTTTAAAAAATATTAATTATAATAGAATACATCAGCAGATGCAAATGTTGAATGGAAAATTCATCAGAATTACTGTACGTTATCTTTATGTTTTAGAAACTTTGTAAAATACATGAAAATTATATAAATATTATAGGATGCAATATATGAAATTTATAGGTTGTGACAATCTATAAATACATCTGTTATACTGAAAGAAGAAATAGATATATTTTATTCATAAAATATATATTTACCGAGGTAATTTATTCTTATTAATTTTTTTATTTAATTTTTTTTATGTTAATATACGAATATTTATAAATTTATGCAGAATATACATATTTATGAATGCCCATGGATTATACCTATCGCTATACATTGAAATAAAATTATGTTAGTTAACAATTTCTTTTTATTCTGTTATATTTCTTATTCCAAATGTATGTAGCATAGATTTTAAAATATACACATATTTATATATTATATATAGAATCAATGCATTTTTCTAATAAAATGACCTTAAGAAGGAAAAAGTGTGATATAAACTTGTTTATATATTGTTATTATAAAGATATACGAAATATGATAGATAAATTTTACGGAGACTATATAAGAGGAACTAGACCATGAATTTTTTACTATTATATATATATTTAAAAAATATTATAATATAATTTTTTCATTAAATTATTTTTCATATTTATATAAATCAGTTTTAATTATTACGAACTATATGATTACACTTTCCATCATGTATAACATATGTTAATAAGAAAATTAAAAAGAATAATAAACATCTGGACGTGATATTTTTTCTTTTATAAGAAAATATTTCGTAAGATAAAATGACCAATGGAATCTATAATAAAATATGAAAATTGTGTAAAATTATTAAATAAACATGCTAATTATT